TGCCGGCCTTTGCCAACCGCCGCACGGAAATCAGGTTTGCAGCAAGGCTGGGCACCCAAAGCACGTTCTTGAGGCCCACCATCTTCCCATCAGCACCCTTGAACATGGCCTTGCCCATGCCTTTCACCTCTGCTCGCTGCCCCAAAGCCGATGTGACATGCTTCACCGGTGACGGCTCGAGTTCGGTGAGCAAGTCCGGGCGAGGTGTCATGCTATAGGTAGCGCCACTATCAATCACCCAATAGTCCAGGGGGTGTAGGGTCACCTTCCCCACAGCTGCTGGCTCCTCAAAGCCTTCATCCTTCTCTGGACCAGCCGGTACTTGCGTCGACACGAAGTAGAATAGACCCGGGTATCGATCGTCGCTCGGGTCCTTGTCGTTGTCTCCGCTCTTCATGTTTGCAGCTCCGCCACCGCGACCGCCACGGCCTCCACGGCCTCGTCCTCTCCCTCCTCCTGCTCCTCTACCCTCTTGGCCTTGAGCAGGGGTCCAACCATCAGGGAGTTTGTAGCAGTCGCGCCACATGTGTCCGCTCTTGTGGCAATAGTGACACTCGCCGTCGAATCGGCCGCGACCGCGTCCGTAGCTCTTGTCGTCGCTGCCGTAACCGCCACTCCTGCGGCCTCCGCCGAAGTTGCTGCCACCAAACCTTCCTCCCCCTCGTCCTCTGCCTCTTCCTCGACCATATCCACGGCCGATGCTTGCTGCCCCAGCGCCATCCGCACTCGCCAACTCACGGCGGCGGAAATCCTCTTGAAGGATAGCTCGCTTCACGTCTTCAAGCGAGAGGCGGGGCAAGTCGCGATTAAGGTTGATGATGAGCGAGGACCATGACTCTGGGAGTAAGGCCAGCAACTTGGTCTTCTTTTGGAGCTCACTGTAGTTCAAATCAGCTCCCTCAAGCCGCGTCAACAAGTCGAAGAATTTCTGCACCCCTTCTTCAACCGCTTCGTCTTCTTCAATTCGTAGTGCCGCCATTTGCCGTTCCAACACCACCGCTACCGCCGCTGTTGCAGGAGCATGTACACCCTTGAGAGCAGCCCATGCCTTTGGTCCTTTCTCTGGTTCACGCTGGAATGGCTTGATGTGACGGATCTGACTGCTCCCCAACGCTTGCCCAAGTAAGAGATAGCCTTGTGCGCTCTTCCGCACCCACGGGCTCTTCTCTGGGTCGTTCTCGGGGCGCTTCTCCGTTCCTTCCATCACCTCCAGCAGGTCATAGCGGTCAAAGATGTTCTCCATCTTGAAGGACCATTCAGCAAAGTTGTCACCGTTGAACTTGTCAAGCCCAAACACCCTAGGCTCATCCCTAGGTGGGCCAAGACTTGGTTGCATGGGCGCCATGGCTGAATCACGGGGTTGGCCTTGAGCTTGAGCTTCTCCACTGCCACCAGCACCTCTGCCACCCCTTTCCTCAGGTCCAGACATTGTCGAAACTGCTCCAAGGGGCTCTGATACCACTTGTTATAGACACAATAGGCGTGAATGTGCCTAAAACGAAAGATAGAGAGCACAGACGGGTTTCTGCACAGCGGCTTCAAACGTTGATAGCGTTCTGCTCACAGCTGCAAATGACTTGATTCAAATTGGATCTGGAGCGTCTTCACGTCGTCTACAATTAGCAATTTAGATTGCACGATTTGATAAAGAATTGACGACACAACGTCGGTTTGAACGAACGGTACTATGGCAGCCACTATAGTTAACACAAGATAGGAAGAGTTACGAGTTGGGAATGACTCCCAGCTCCTACAAACCCCAAGAGCCGAGGTACAGTGATGTGGAACAGTGCCACACTGTCCCCAACCACGAAGGGTCTCGAAACTACCCTTCACTAGGGCCTACACCAAGTGAAATGTTACACTACACAAAGTAACGTAACTATCTTCAATATCTTGGGGTGTACCCTTTTTCGCGGGCTTCGCGATTACTTGAATGTTGACACCAGGGCTCGGGTTCTTCATCACAAACTCATCCTTGAGTTCTTGATGGGTCTGCTGCACACACACGGACAACAAGCCGAGTGCAAACCGTAGGGTTGCACCAACAAACTCCCCCTCGGATTGTTGGCCTTAGGATCTTGCTCTCTTAGTTCAGAGCCATCCCAGCCAGCTTGCAACACTTCCAATGCTGCTGCTCCACCAGCCTCTTGGTCATCATGTCAGCCGGCTGCCCCGTGGTCTTCACGTAGCGCAACTCAACTTCACCCGCGGCCACCATGCTCCTCGTCCAATGCCACTTCACCCTCATGTGCTTCGTGAGTCCATGCAACACAGGGTTCTTAGCAAGAGCAATGGCACCCTGGCTGTCACAGTACAGTGGGGTAGGTCCTTGCTGCTCCTCCCCCAATTCAGCCAACAAACGCCGCTGCCACACAATCTCCCGTACCGCACGGAAGAGTGCCATGTACTCGGACTCCACCGAGCTCAAAGCTTGGTCAACCTGCTTCTTGCTCTCCCAAGCAGTTGGGCCTCCACCAACACAGCATATGAAGCCTCCCACACTTGTCATGTCCTCTGGTTCCGATGCATATGAAGCATCCGAGTAGGCGGTGAGGAACAAACGCCCGGGTTCAACACCATCCGCGCCCTTTTGGCGCCTTTGTGCCGCCGCCGAGTATTGCAGCCCAACGGTCGGTGTTTGGCCAAGATACTTGGCCACCCTCATTCCAGCTGCTACCTGCTCCTCATTAGGGCATTGCACAACCCTAGCCAGCTGCCCGGTAGCAAACGCGACGTCCGGTCGGGTGTTTACCGCCGCATACATGAGGCTGCCCACCAACGAGTGAAATCGGTGCCTCTCCTCTTCACCAACGCTCTCCTCCTCTGGTCCCTTCACACACTTGAACCCAGAGGGAAAGGGTGTAGCCACATGGCCTTCACTCTGCCCAAAGTTGGCAGCCAATGCCTCCAGGTACTTTCGTTGATGCACCCGCATGCACCGCTTCTCCACATCTCGTTCGATGTGGAGCCCAAGGTAGAAGCTCACGTCACCAAGGGCCTTGCACTTGAACTTGTCTTGAAGCTTCAGAATCACCTCCTTCACAAGGTCAGAAGAGGGTGAGAAAATGAGGATGTCATCCACATAAACCACCATGAAACTCCTCTGCTCCCCCTCGCCAAGCATGAACAAGGAGTGATCGGCCGTTGAGGGAGTGAAGCCGATCCCCTCCAACACTTCGCGCAGCTTCATGTACCATTGCCTAGGGGCCTGCTTCAGCCCATAGAGGGCCTTTTTCAGCTTCCACACTCTGCCACTACCATCATCAAACCCCTCTGGCTGCGCCATAAAAATCTCCTCCTCAAGGATGCCGTTAAGGAATGCCGTTACGATGTCCATTTGCTTTACTACCCATCCTTTGATGGCGGCTCCCGCGAATAGGGTTCGCAGCGTCGTCGGCTTCACCACAGGGGCAAACAGCTCCTTGAAGTCCACCTTCTCCTTCTGCTGGTACCCCTTGGCTACAAGCCTAGACTTGTAGCGCTCGATCTTGCCGTCGGCATCCGACTTGATTTTGAAGAGCCACTTGGACGTTATCGCCGTACGCCCCTCCGGTAGCTCCACCAATTCAAACGTGTCAGTCTCCTCGATGCTTTTCAGCTCACTCTCCATGGCCTTCTTCCACTCCTCAGCATCACTACTCTCCAAAGCCTCCTTGAGAGTTGCTGGTTCTCCCGGCATCTCCACCTGAGAGAAGAACGCGAAGGCACACTCCTCGTAGTCACTCTCCTCGTCGTCTCCGACCATCATTGCCGCTCCGGCCAGGGCTGTCTTGCCCTGCTTTCCCGGCGCATCATAGGTCAGCCTATTAGGGGGTTGAACTCTCCTCTTCCCCCTTCCTTCCTCCTCAGCTGCAGGGACTTGAAGGCCTTGGCGTTGCTGCGGTGTGGCTCGAATCCGTGGAGCACTCGTAGTACGGGAAGGGAGTGACGGTGCACGCTCGCTCACTTGCTGCACCTCCTCCTCTTCTTCCTCTGCATCATTGGCCTCCTCTCCCCCATTCACAAGGGAGGATTGCCTTGTGGTTGTGCTGCCGCTGCTCAGCTCCAAAGGCAGCTCCACATGCTCCAAACCGGAACTCTTCACCTCCCCAAACCGCACGCCTATCTTCGCCTCATTCTCCGCCTTCCAATCCTTGTACATGAAGTTCTCCATGAACTTGCAGTCCCTGCTCACCAAGAACTTCTTGGTGAATGGGTCCCAAAGAAGCCATCCCTTGCTGTTTTGAGCCATGCCCAAGTGCACGGCCCACACCGCCTTGGCACCAAGCTTGTTGTGCCGAAGATGCTTAGGCACGAGCGCCATGCACATGCACCCGAACACCCGAAGCATATCCACCTTTGGCTTCCTTCCTAGCCACTCCACATAGGGCACCCATTTGTCTGCTCCCACATGAGTCAAGGCTCTGTTCTTGGCCACACACGCGCTCCGCACCGCATCAGGCCAGAAATAGTCGGGTAGCCCGGCTTCAATGAGCAACCCGCGTGCCGCCTCCGTGATTGTGCGGTTCGCTCGCTCGGCGATGCCGTTCATTGCAGGGGAGTATGGCATGGTGAGGGAGTGCCGAATACCATTCTTCTTCAGCCACAACCCAAACTCCTTGCTCAGGAACTCTCCCCCTCGATCGGTGAGGATTGACTTGACTAGACGGTCTTGTTGCCGCTCCACCATCGGGAACCAATCCGTCTTCAACGTTTCAGCCACGTCGCTCTTCTTGGCCAGCACGTACACCCAAGTCATGCGGGTGTAGACGTCGACAATGGTGAGAAAATACTCAGCTCCAGCAGCTCCAAGCTTCAGGGGGCCCACCACGTCCATCACCACCTCATCAAGCGGTGCCTTTGCCGTTGCCTCCGAACTAGGGAACGGAAACCGGGTGAACTTGGCTTGAATGCACGTCGGGCAGCCAAGCACCTCATCGGGCTCCCCCTTCACACGTATGCCAGCAACCATCTCATTCTTCACTAGCTGCTGCAAGATGGGCAGGGCCACATGCCCCATGCGCCGATGCAAGGTGAGCTTTGTGAGCTTTGTGCGCTGGTGTAATAAGAACCGGCAGGCAATCTTCTACAGAGTAACTGGTGAGCATATCTTAGCAGGTGATTACTCATACATGACTCTTTCTGCTTCGGACAATCTGATTTTGGGAATTCTCATAATAAATCTCCAACGAAAAATACGGTTGTTTTATATCTGGCTGTGCTCATGGCCCTCTCCCTTTTTCTCGCAAGCTTCACAGGGTTTATCGAAAAGTCATCTCTTCTGCTGCAATTTCCATTCCCTTTTTCTCCCAGCCTGCTCGCCATTTTTCAAAACCTTCCTCCCCTCCATCCCCCACCACCACCAAACCCCACCCTCCCTCCTCCCCCTCTTCCCCCAACCCTCAGCTCAAGAGCATGCGGCTTCTCCGCAAGTTCAACGGGGGGCACAGGGGGTTTGCGTTTGTGGAGTTTGCAACAAAGAGGGAAGCTGAGAGTGCCTTTGATGCGCTCAAGAGCACCCACCTGTATGGCCGCCACCTTGTGCTTGAAAGGGCCAAGGAGGGCGGGGGGCTTAACGAGCTACGTGCCAAAACTGCCGTCCAGTTTCTGGATGGCGGGGCGGGCGGCGTGCGGCAGAAGAAGCGTGCCAAGCTGGGGCAGGGCGTGGATGACAGTGATGTGGCATTTCGAGAAATGCAGTTTGGTTGAAGTTTTTTTTTACACTGATGCTGATTATGAGTGTTAGTGGTGCTAGAACAGTAGCTAGAATGCAAGAGCCATAGCTAGGGTTTAGCTAGCTAGGCACGAGAGAATAGGCAAAGGAGGGCTTTCACTAGCAGGCAGTTGAGTACATATATGAAACCCTAACAGGGCTGTACTCACTATAGAGTACCCCACTGCAGACTAGAGAAATATAACATTCTGACACACCCCCATAGTCAAAGTGGGGTATAATCAGCACAGCAAGTAGTCACAGAGCTGGTTCACAAGTTCAAGCAAAGCTAGAGGCAGTCACAGAGGGCAAGTGAGGAGGAGGAGGGACTGTGAGAGGAGAGGAGGTGGTGGGCGGCAGCTGAAGCTGCTGGCACACGGCGCAACTGGAGCAACTGGCACGCGGGCAACTGGAGCAACTGGCACACTGGCAACTGGAGCAACTGGCACACGGGCAACTGGAGTAACTGGCTCCGCGGCTAGACGAGCGGCAGGAGCAACTGACTCACAGGCGACTGGAGCAACGGGCTCACGGGCGACTGGAGCAACGGGCTCACGGGCGACTAGCGCAACGGTCTCACGGGCGACTGGAGCTGCTAGATTCACGGCGGCCACCCCCCTTCGACCTCCCCCATTGTCCCAAAATTCCCGTTCACACACCCCTTGCTGCACCCCTAGCTCCACTCCCATGTCACCCCCCTAGCGCCACTCCCTCGGCTCCCACACACCCACCCTCCTCAGCGGCAGCTGCAGTAGTGGGAGACGGAGTAGGAGGAGGAGCAGGGAACGGCTCACACACCCGCCACCCCCATAACCGCCACCCCCATACCCGCCACCCCAAGATCCAAATGCAGGCGGGGCGGGGCGGGGCGGGTAGCAGCTGGTGCGGCGTGCGAGCGGAAAGCAGGGCGGGGCGCGGGTCCCTGGGGCGCTGCGACGGGCGAAGAACAGGGCGGCGCGCGGGCCCCCAGGGCTCCACGACGGGCGACGCGCGGGCCCCCAGGGCGCCGCGACGGACGACGAGAGAGGGGCGACGCGCGGGCCCCCAGGGCGCCACGACGGGCGACGGGAGGGGGCGACGCGCAGGCCCCCGGGGCGCCACGACGGGCGACGGGAGAGAGGGGCGACGCGCGGGCCCCCAGGGAGCCGCACCGGGCGACGGGAGGCGGGGCGACTCGCAGGCTCCCAGGGCGCCACGACGGGCGACAGGAGGGGACAGCGCGCGGGCCCCCGGGGCGCCACGACGGGCGACGAAACCGCTGCGCGCTCATGGGGCGCGCGGCAAGTAGGAAACCACCATGCGCCCCGAGCGCGTGGCGGGCAGAAAACCGCCACGCGCTCGGGGCGCGTGGCGGGAAGGAAAAAAAAAAAGGTCGCGCGCCACGGGGCGCGCGACAGACAGTATGGCAGCGGAAGCAGGCGGGCCCACAGGCCAGGAGCGTAACCACTCTGTTACCATGTTAGAACAGTGTCTAGAATGCAAGAGCCATAGCTAGGGTTTAGCTAGCTAGGCAAGAGAGAATAGGCAAAGGAGGGCTTTCACTAGCAGGCAGTTGAATACATATATGAAACTCTAACAGGGCTGTATTCACTATAGAGTACCACACTGCAGACTAGAGAAATATAACATTCTGACAAGTGGAAATGTTAAAATCAGTAGTACGGTATCTTCCAAAAGCATCATGCAGTGTTGGACAATGACTTAGGCTCAAATGCCAGTATTGAACAAGGTTTTTCTTTATCCAGCATGTGTATTGTAGTATGTTTCATTAATCACAAAAGAAAAACAGGAATAATAGTGTAAGGTACAACGGAACCACAGAGGAGAAAGTGGTATTATTAAGCAAAAAGAGGAATGACAATAACGAGTGCAGAGGGAAACCCCCCTACGGCCCCCCTACGGCCCCCCTAAGCCCCCCCTACCCCCCAAACCTCCTCATAGCCCCTCACAGCCCCCTAACGAAGCGTACCCCCCAGCCAAATCCTAATCCGACGAATGCTTGTGTGGTTCGACTGCCAGCGTCAGCTGGCAGTCGATTGAACCTTTTCAGTGCCCCCCATCTCACCTCACCCTAACTCGCCCACATCGCGGGTTGAGTTGAGTTTGTTTCCTACTACTAGTGCATGCTAACCGCGACCAGCGCTGCACCAGGCCGGTTATCTAGTGCTTCCCTTCCCCGATCACTCAGTCACGAAAACCAAAGAGGCACACGGCATACTATGGCGATTCCGGATCGTGCTACATCCTGCGGCGAGTAGAAGTTATTATTCTATCTAGAGACAGTAGTAAGGACATCCCAAATAGAAGCAGCAGTAGCTAATCACTGCCGCGTTGCACGGTGATGCGGTGCCCTGTAGAACCCCGCTACACCATCCTTCCGCCATGCATCGCTGCTCCTCCGCTCGCCCGCGCCGGTCTGACCGAACACTATTACTACCGCCGCGCCGCTCCTCCATTTTTTGCCTGCGCAGGCACCATCAATACTAGCCGCGCTGTGAGCGAATTGCCCGATCAATCCTGTGACAAACCCTAGAAAATATACTGTGACAACTTCCCTAGTAAGCTATTCTCTGTGGAATCTACACGACTTGTTTTTTTTTCTCCCTCTTTTGTTACATCGATCGCCTAGCCTCAGCGTTAACGTTGCGCATGCCATGATGTGACGCGGCAGGCGCATGGCAGCAGAGCGGGAGAAAGTGCCGACTCATAGAATTAGCATCAAAGCCAGGCTGCGGCGGCAGCAGCAGGGCACGGCGCGATGATGGCGAGGCGCCGGGCGGCGTCGGCACTAACGCATCACCAGCCAGAGGCATTTTCGCGGGCGTGTGTTCGACGCCGGCCGTGCCACGTGGCGTGACGACCGGTGAGGGAGGACGCGCCGCGTGGCAGGTGAGGCGGCGGCTGACGTGAGTGAGGCGAGTGGTCTGAATTCTGATCGCCCCGCTCCCACCGCCACCCTGCTCCCATCGCCCTCCTCGCACATGGCATGTGCACTAAAAATCTATGCTCTCCTTGTCACGTGCTGCCGTCCGCCCTGCCATGAGCAGATCAGCAGCAAGCGAAAACAGGAGGCACAGCAGGAGAAGAGAGCAGACGCATCAGAATGTGGTGAAGGAGCAGCGGAGGAAACAACAGTGAGGTGAGCAGGTGAGGAGAGAGTAGCGAGCAGGTGGGGAGAGAGGAGGGAAGCAGGTGAGGCGAGGAGGGGAGCAGATGAGGAGAGGAGGGGAGCAGATGAGGAGAGGGGGGGAGAAGGTGAGGAGAGAGGGAGAGCAGGTGAGGAGAGGAGGGGAGCAGGTGAGGAGAGGAGGGGAGCAGGTGAGGCGAGGAGGGGAGCAGGTGAGGCGAGGAGGGGAGCAGGTGAGGAGAGGAGGGGAGCAGGTGAGGAGAGGAGGGGAGCAGGTGAGGAGAGGAGGGGAGCAGGTGAGGAGAGGGGGGGAGCAGGTGAGGAGAGGAGGGGAGCAGGTGAGGAGAGGAGGGGAGCAGGTGAGGAGAGGAGGGGAGCAGGTGAGGAGAGGAGGGGAGCAGGTGAGGAGAGGAGGGGAGCAGGTGAGGCGAGGAGGGGAGCAGGTGAGGCGAGGAGGGGAGCAGGTGAGGCAGGGAGGGGAGCAGGTGAGGCGAGGTGGGGAGCAGGTGAGGTGAGGAGGGGAGCAGGTGAGGAGAGGAGGGGAGAAGGTGAGGCGAGGAGGGGAGCAGGTGAGGCGAGGAGGGGAGCAGGTGAGGAGAGGAGGAGAGCAAGAGAGGAGAGGACGAGAGCAGGTGAGGAGAGAGGAGGGATGGCGGTATGGATGGCACGAGGCCTGTCGATGGGGGGTCTGGGGCTGGGAGGTGCAAGGCGAGGGGGGATGGGCAGGTGGGGGTTGTTGGCACCTTCGGCAATTGACAGGAAAAGACGAGGAAAGTTCTATATGCCCTCCCTCCCCTCTTCATCCCTGCCGTTTCTTACCCCCCATTCCCCCCTCCCTCCCCTCCCCCTCCCCCCCTTAGTAGCAGCAGCAGCAGCAGAGAACACACCAGCAGAAGCAGGGGAGGCAGCAAACATCCATCAGCAGCAGGAGACAGCACCAGCCACCGCAGCAACAGCAGCATGGGGAAACCAGAGATTAGAAAGATCTGCTACCTGGCACAAGCATCAGCGCGGCCTCTACAGCAGCGGGAGCAGCAGAATTTGTAGCAGCAGCAGATGCAGCATCAAAGGCAGTGCGTTTTTGTGTACCAACTCTGAATTATGTACAAACCAGCCTAGCAAACTACGCCTAACGAAGAAGAAAAGGCCAGTGTACGTAAAACACACCGCATAGTGGACAGATTTGCCGACATCTGAAAAATGTGCAAGAAATCGTCAACAGTCTTGACACCACGTAGTGAAGTGGCACTACTCATCGTCATACGGTGCTCTTTCAAACCAATTAGAGGGTCGGATAGTTTCCTAGTGAAACCTTCTGAGCAGAAACTCTGTGGTATGACAAACACAGATCTGTACCAACCGTGTCTGTTTCGGTCTCATAAGCTTAGCATTTGCAACAGCGCCAAGTATGGGATGTATGGGTTGGGTTGTTTGTCAGCAATATTCAGTTGATTGTGGTTTGGATTGGATTGTCATTCGAGGGTACCATAAGACCATCAAAGCGATGGCAGTAGTTGCAACATGAATAATAACTTGATCCTGAAAAATAATTGTTTTCATCTCATTGTTCCAACTACTTAGAAAGATGTCGTGTGATTTCCGCTTCTAGGAAGTGAGGGGCGCGTGGAGCGAAAACGATGGTGCTGTCAAACATATATGCTATAGTCTGTATAGGCTGTAGTGGGGGTAGTTCATATGGGGTACAACACTTTAGGGTTTCCTACTTGTACTCCTCATCCTGCTCGATGCAATCATTCCTCGTTCTGTTTTCACATGGTTTCAGAGCAGGTTCCCTAGTGGGAACGTTTTTTTAGGGCCCACCACGAACTTTTGTTTCCTGCCCTGCCCGAAGCGCGCTGCCGTGCCTGC